TATTATAATAACAAAAATTTCCTAGTAAACAAACAAATACGAAAGACAACATGATTTGATACTGGAACAACAAAAAATAGATCACATAAATATTCCTATGAAATTGTCAAGTTATCCTCCACAAAGTCTTCATTATAATCATTAATTATGTCATAAAATCATTTTTTTAAAAAAAATAAGTCGATAAGATCATAAAATTAAATAGATACTGTTTTATTTTTTAAAAAAAATACAATATTAAAATTCAAAAAAGTGTAAAAAAATTGCTAAACATTAAACTTTATGATCACCTTAATACTCCTTAAAGATTGTAATATAGCCAATCATTTTAGATAAAAATTTAAATAGGTATTGAATGAATTGTCTGTTGGAAAAATAGCAATTGAGCATCTTCTATAATGGTTGGTAAAGCGCTTCACCAAAAAGATGCTAATATTACTTAAATAGATTATGTCAAGGTAAATACAAACATAGTTGTTACTTTATTTTATAAATACAAAAAGGGTAAGTAATTAAATCTATCAGATCTACAGACGACCTTAAATTATTATTTTTGTTTCTATTAGAGACCTCTGGTTTGTTGTAAATTTTGCTACCTGTAAGTATATCAACAAATAATGAAATAGTAAACTATCAATGCTGTAAACAGCTGTAGTCTAGATTTCTTTATTTCTTATAAATAAATTTCATGACTTTCAACCAAACTGTACATACTATGAAAATCTTCTAAAGAATGCTGTATGTTAGGTATGGGTCTGACTTTTTCACAATGGAAGAGAAGTAAAAAAGTGTATAATTATTTGTTACTCTACACACAACAACAATAATTGATGTCCCCAAAAATATTGACTGGTCAAATGTGTGTATTACATACAATATGTGCACAAGAATAATCCATGAAACATAAAAGTGTGGGTAACATATGGGTATCCTAAAACGTGAAGTGACACTTGTTCGTTAAACTTAAATGAAGAAGTTATCTTTATATAAATACACATTTTGGATGGAAAATGTAAGACAGTGTCTATTTGTTTTAGAGGGTTAGAATAACTTTGATACATGCAGGCAGAATCTAGTTAATATAGGCCAACTAATACCAGGTTCAAATATTAAGCTTACATATCTTGTAAATGAGTATTTATTTATTTTTAAATAGAAGAAAAACAGTGAAATTGTGCAATACTACTTATAAGTCCTTGAAAATTTGTTCGTAGATTCATCTATTGAATTTTTTTCACAACAGAAATATATTAATTGTCACATGTTCCACTTATACAGAACATCATGCAATTTTATTATCTACTTAAACCTCTGAATCTTTTATGGCTTTGTCTTCTCATTCTTCATCAAAAAAATAATAATAAAAATAGGATTGAAACATTCCATTATATGCTCACTAAAGACATGTTACTTTGATGATAAACTCAGTTATTGTATTACGAGGAATTTTGGATTTTAGTGGTGTGTTTGTTTGTTTTGTTTTGATATATTTTTCCTTCAATAATTATGTTATCATAATAACCAAATTCTTAATAATTAATCTGTTTGTAAACGTTTTTTTGCACACAAATTCCTGAATAATTGATGTTTTTTTTACTATGTAATTGTGTGACTTACCATAATTATTTACAAATTAATAACAATTCTTAAAATAACAAGCAATCAATTCAGTTTTGAAAGTGAACAATTTGTATCTAGAAATGAAATAAAATAAATGGTAAAATGAAAAACATCCTTTCAATTTTGTATGCATATTACAAGCGTTGATAACATTGAAATCCTCAACATCCTTCAAAAAATTCTTTACTCCATGGCTTTGTATGATTTTTATTTTTTATTTTTAAAAATTTTAATCATGTATTCATGTAATAATATTTTATTAAATGATTTATATTTGTTTTCTGTAGAAAAGTTTGGGTGTTGAGGATGAACCTCCGTCGTTGTGTTTAGGATTTAGGGTTTCGAGCATCGAATCACCCACAGGTCCACACCTTCAATTTTTTGATACATATGTGACCAGGTGACAGATTGAAGCACATTTTGAATGAAGCACATCAGGTGCTCACCCTCCTGGCCTACGCGAATCCGGTCTGCCGCTGCTCTGCGTTGTTGAGGGCGAGGTGAAATGCCGCAAGTTCTGCCGCTGCTGCGAGCCTCGTGAATTGGATCACTAGCGCAATTGGGTCGCGGCAGCAGGCGTGAAGGATTAGTCCGTGTCCACACCCAATTGTGGAAGAGCCTCGCCCGCCGAGTCATGGAGATGGGTGCGGAGGAGCCTCCTAAAGAAAGCTGGCCATAGCCTTGCGACCAGGGCTGTGTATAGCACGAAGCAGCAGCAGCAGTCGGAGCCTGGTGGTTGACTCGTGCTGTAATCGCGGGCCACCCCCCCGCCCCATCCCACTCAATCCTTGCCAATTGTCTCCAACGACTCCTTCCTTCCATTGGTCGCCGACCTACTCTTGACCCTGCTAATTTTTTAAGAATTCATTTCATTTGTATATTTGTGAAATTTCCACCAAATTTTGTTGCTTAAATTAAAAATAGTGAATATATATATATATATATATATATATATATATGTGGAAAAGAAAATCAGAGTTCTTTCATTTTGTCAAAAAAATATGCTCACATTTAATAGAACATTTGTGACATGTTCAAATAAACAAAAGAAATGACATAAAACCTAGAAGTAAAGTATTGAGGATGTACATAGCTATTATAATAAATTCATTAAGGAATTTAATAGTACACAATATACATATTATTTCTTTATTAAATATCTACATTAATTATATTTTACTATAAATAGTTGTTAATCAAAAAAGATCTTCAAAATATTACTTTGATAAAACATAAAAAATAAAACTCTTGTTATACTATTATTTGTAAGTAGTTAAGTTAAGTATCATTCTTTACCAAAAATGATAAATCATATCTTTTAAAGTAAATTTCTAAACTATGTATATTATAAATAGAAATAAAGCATGTTGATTTGATTTGATTTTTATTTTTTTGTAATTGTATAATGCAAACCATTGTCATATCTTATACAAAGTTAGAGCATAAAAGATATTTTTTACAAAATATCTTGTACGTAATAATGTGTTGGTTGATTTGTATGGAAGAGAGTAAGCAGGAGTTTGAAACTACTACAACATACAAAGAATTTCAAATTATTTTTGCAAGAGCTTTACTCATAAATCTTCAATCATATATTGTTTCACAAATGCTTACAATAAATATACATTTCTCATGAAGAATTTGAATAAGCATATATGTAGTAAGTAAGAGTATGTATGGATATATTTACATACACACAAATATATATATATATATATATATATATATACTAGTGAAATCAATAATGTATAAAATTTTAGATACACAAATACTTGTATACATATACAAAATCATATAATTGAAAATGAAGAAATTTTGACTTTTTGAATATTATCTATAAAAAAGAATACCTTTAAACATTAATATATATACATACATTTATATATTTCAATAGCATTTTTTTCTTTTATAATATTATTATATCAATAACACATAAATATGATTAATAATACAACTCAAAATTTGGTGAGATTTCTGAAGTAATATTATTCTTTTAAATGTGATTTTAATGTATATTTTTGATTAATTATAAGAGTTTTAGTACATATTTAGAATGTGAAATGAAAAGATAAACATTCTCTCTATACAACTATAATTTATATGCATATATAGAGAGAATGTTAATGTTAAATGTGATTTTAATATGTATGAATATATATATATATATATATATATATATATATTTGCTATATGTTGTAATTTTCTTTACTCATGTGAGATTTCAAGTGTTAAGAAAATGCATAAAACAATTTTACTTCAAATGAGAATATAACTACTTTATAATAGTTTTTGCCACTTTAAACAAATCCAATAGATCTAATAATTTTGACATTCAATTTAAGTACATAGTTTCTTTTAAATTCCTTTGCAAAATTAAAATAATACTATATATATATATATATATATATATATTTGGAAATTCTGCACCTTCTATCATATAAACACTCTCTCTATATATGTTAATATATAATAAATTAAAGGGAATGTTAAATAGACTCAAATTTTTACTAAATCAACTTACCCATGATGAAAAATATGATAATCATGATGAATATGCTTGGTTTTCATTGGTTTTAAATCAAATAGTGGAGAAATGAACTTAGAGGTCATTATTTTTTTCATGATGGTTAGGATGGGTGGATCAATTTAGTAAAAGCTTTAGTCTATTTAACATTCACCTAAATTAATATGTAAGTACACAATTACATACATCACAAATATTACAATCTCAGTGTCACAACTAATCCCAACAAAAACATATCTATTAAAAGAAAAATAGACACACACACATCACAATACGAGCTGTAGCATCAAAATCTACCCACAATGACAGATGTACATACGAATACACAAATGAGAGAGGTTTGCAGGGAGGGGGTGCCATGCAGGCAAGAGCCGGGGATCGGAATACGAAGGGAGCGGGCATAGGGGGTGGGGGGAGGGACAACCAGGGTGACAATACCGTGGTGGGGTTGATGGAATGGGCCGGAGGCGCGAGAGGCGATGCGAAGGCTGCTGCCGCGGCTGTTGCTGCTGCTGCTTTTGTTGCTTCTGAGCACCACAGGGAAATCAGTGCTATAATCGACCCCCTGCGGCGCTTATGCGCCCATGCACGGGGGAGTTAAATTTGGTAGGATTCAGCGGCAGGACCGTGGTGAGCGCGACCCGACCGCGGTGAAGCGAGAGATCATGCTCGGGAGATGGAGGCGCAAGCTAATTAAGAAACCAATCCAGGACCGGATGATGCAGCGATGGTTCCTCCAAAAATGGACCTGGCTGCACCAGATCATATTTGGCATAAATTCGTTGTTTTATTAGCCTCGCCCACTTCTTTATAAAAAACCCTCTCCACAACTCACTCAGTGTCTGTCTGCTTGCGTCTGTCGCAGTCTCAAGTCCTTGCTTCCTCCCCCCCCCCCCCTCTCTCTCTCTCTCTCTCTCTCTCGCTTTCGTTCCCTTCTCCTTCCTCCCTCTCTCGCTATCACTCTCTCTCGCTCTCCCTTTCCTTTTCCCGTATGTGATATTTTCACCTCATGATCAGTCGACTCAACGTTGCTGATCACTGCTCCAGTGCATTCACAGTGTCGCTACGTGAATCACATTCTGGTCACCGATCTTCGCTTCCTGCAGTTGGCGCCATCGTTGTTGTTCGCTAGGAGTCCTGCTTTCTTCGCATTCCCCTTGGACGTCATGCCATAGTTGCGAGCACCTAGTTGATCGACAGGAACTCAGTTTAGAAGGTAGATTCCGTGTGTTGAAGGTCCGGAACGTGTGCTGTGCGCTTTCTAGTGTCGTGGTTCTATCTCGTGGGTGCAGTCTCAAGTTGCGATTAATATCGGTAGACGTGGCAACTGATTTTGGTACCGAGTCATCGGGAGAAAGTTGAAGCCATTCAGTGTTAATTACCAATTTGACTTCCTTTAAGCGCATCCCGACCTGTTGTTGTTGCTCGTTCGAAGTTGGAATCAGCTTTAGTACTGCCCGAGGTTTTAAAAGCAGAGAAGTCTTTCTAAATACAAAGCTCAGTTTCCCAGAAGGACAGGCGACGCCAGTTAAAAGCGAAAAATGGGTAAACCATTGTGCCCCGCCGCATGTGCCCCACCTGGTACTTATCCACCGGCACGAACCTCACCTGGCGATGACATGATGTGGCACTGTCATGGTGCTAACTATGCCGAGCTGGTTTCAAATCTGCAAAGTAACTCCCATTTCCCGTTGTCACTTCCTTGCAACTCCTGCTATTACATACTCTTCTACCTCATTCTGCGCAAAAACTCAGTTCCCTTTTAAAATATTGAGTTGACTATAAAACCATGGCAATGGGGATATCTAATCAGTGCGCCTGCCAATTGGCAGATCTTGGTGAATATTGGAGTAATCTGGTGTTGATAAATTGTTGCCTTTTGCAGATCGAGGGATTCTGACGTCGAATGATGCTGCAAAAGCCATGTCCAAAGTCGACCGGAAGTTCTTTGTGCCGGATTCCAACAAAGCTTATAATGACGCCCCTCAAGTCATTGGATACAGAGCGACAATATCTGCCCCCCACATGGTAACACGCCCACTTCTAATTACAGATTTCATTACACATTTGTCCAGTGACAGTTGACTGCATTACATCACCTGGAGTGTGCGCAAGGAAAGTCAGTGAAAAGTTACCACGACAAATTGAATTGTCGGTGGCATGTAGTTCATAATCTACCCCAATTTATTACCTGTTTTGAAATTGTGGTGTTGATTCAATTAAACCTGATCAAGGTAGTGGTGGAATGACGCAGCATTCTTACTGCCTGTCGCTATTGGCTGATCATGCAAAACCTGGAGCGTCGGTTCTAGACGTTGGCTCCGGATCTGGTTACTTAACGGCTGTTTTCGGCCTTATGGTGCGGCTCTTTGATCCCTCAAAAGTTTTCTCTTGCGTTGGACCTAGAAGCAACAGGCTTTCTAATTGTTTCAGTTGGATTTGTGGAATTAATGTGTACAGTGAATTGCTTTTGTTTTAGGTTGGCGAGACTGGGCGAGTGGTAGGAGTGGAGCATATTCCAGAACTAGTGGAGAGGTCGATTGCTGCTATCAAGAAGACGCCTGCTGGCTCACTTATGGACCACGGCAAAATTGTCGTTCGTGGTAAGCATTACACGCAATTCGAATGAAATTGGGTTCACTGCATGGCCTTACTCAGCCATTTTTCTCATCTCTTCTTTTCTTTCCCCTCTGTTGTCATTTACCCCCTTACTGGTTACTTGATAATATCTTACGTGGACTTGGGAAAATGCTGTTGGAACTGGAACCGCAGTGGCTGACGGTAAACTTGGCAATGCGGAGGGTGCACCATACGATTGCATTCACGTCGGAGCTGCCGCAGCAGGTAGCTGCTATTTTCTGTATTTTCCTTAATTGATTTGTGTGTATTATTTTTGTTTAATTTCCCGTTGGGTGTTTAATACCTCCAGTTGGATCTGTGAAATGCTTGGCACGACAGTTGACCATGTTTGGACAGCAACGATCATCTATGTATATTTAAACTGATAAGGCAGTGGTGTACGTGAACAGAACTGCCTGAAGCTCTTGTGCAGCAACTGAAGCCTGGGGGTCGAATGGTCATTCCAGTAGGAACTGACAATCAGGTATCCATCACCCACCTCAGGAACTGAATTAATTGTAGAGTGCAATTTCAAGTCCTGGCACGAAGTATAACTAATAACAACAGTAAATCTTTCCCAGCTTTTAATACATGGAAACTCTGGTGTGCAGAATCTAGTTATTATCGACAAGTTACCGGATGGAACGGTTGAGAAGACCAGAAAAATGGTTGTTCGTTATGTGCCCCTCCTCTAAGCGAAGATGCTGAAGTTTTTCTTAACTAGAGATAGTATCCTTAATTAGAAATGTACCGATATCGACTCTAGTAAAGCAGAGATGATCCAACACAGCCCGTACGCATCGGTTATACTGAGCTCCTCTGTAATTAATTTCCCCATTTTGACCCCACAAAATGACTCTCTACAAACAATCCACATGTATACTAAGCTCTTAATTCAAGTGCCGTAGAGGCTGAGGCGCCCACGTGGGAAATTTTTCCTACCGTTACTGCTGATACAAGAAATAAAGATATTGAAATTATATGCTTCTGACTGTATCAAAGGACACGACGGTGCCAATCTCTCGACATTCCAATGTTGAAATTATCGCATTAACCATAATCCCTGTTAGAAAGTCAAGGCAGTTTGTTTTCGAGAGAAACGTGCGGCGAATTTACTATTTGAGATCGAGCGCAGCCAGTTTACTGAGATTACTACAATCGCAAACTCCCATTAAGTTAAAAAAACAGACGTTGTCCAAGAAACTGTGAATAGGATAGAGCCAAAAGCTGTTGTCTGACTAGACCCTCTATCCATCCTCCCTACAACTCAACATGTATTCTCTTAGGAATTTCGATGACTAGTTGACAACAGTGTAGTCATACTAGAGTATACAGACGTTGAAAACTTATAAAGCTACACACAAGCTTACAAAATTGTGAGTAGAGCACAGCAAACATTCAAACACGTCAATGATCAAAAAACGCAGACGGATAGGGAAGAAATCGCTACAACTGTCTAATATTTTCAGAATAAATCTATCATGCAATACGAGCCATGTCACTTTTGGTAAGTGTAATTCGACACCCACTCTACCACTCTAGTGGAATAAATTTTTAGGATGGGATGCCTCTCATGCCCTTGCTCATAAAGAAACCAGAACCTTGGCTGGGTGCGCAGGCCATGAGACTGTACTTCCCTGATGATAAGATCGACTTTGCAACTCTACCCGACCTTCCGAAATATTGAGATTTCTCTGAATCACTCGTGGGCTGCTCACGCAAACAAGACCACAATCAGAATCTGAAACCTCAAGGGAACCATCATTTTAATTAGTCACTGCGGAGATCGGCCATTAAGAATGAAAGAAAGAGAAATCTACTGAGGTTGGTGAGTTAGAGTGACGCCTTTCCTTAACTCCAGGCAGAGGTGACGAGCCATTCGATGCACCCTGACCAAGATGTCCATTTCGACTCACACTAACACGCCCCACATCTACAGTAACAGCCCGTTCTAACCGATTGCTATCAGACGACAAAACAAGGGCTCTGTCAACTATACCTTGACTTCACTGTCACGCCGCTTTAGGTCACTGAGGGAACTGTTGTGCTAGGAGTCCACATAGATTCTACTGGAACATGCACTGAGGATCCATTCTCAAGAGTCTCAAACCTTGTTGAGACGCCATTCGGAAATGGTCTTGGTCCCCTGTGACAGCCATTGGATAAATCCAGCGAACTTTAGGGATACAATGCTTTAATAAAATTTTCTGTGCTACTTCCTGTCCAATGCTCCCTCTGCTCCAAAGAGGTGTTTGTGACTGACCCCTCTCCGTGACAGAAATTTTGATTGGGTATTAGCCCAACCTTAGACCGAGATACAGAATGTACATTACCACATACAGAGGATTGAAGCATCTTGTGCCAATTATTGATAATGTGTGGAACAATGACCTTATTTGTTGCAATCTCACTCCCAATCTTATTAAGCCCATTCTCCTGCTTTCCCAGAGATCTTGAAGTTCCTTTCTCCTCAGAACATACAATGGAGATGCTTGGCGTGCTGCTGGAGGCGTTGTTATCTGATTCTCTTCTGTAACCTCCATTTGGGCTGTCCACTGGTGAAATCTTTCGACCCTGTGTTCTCCTTTTGATATATCCTGACCTTTCTACATTGGAGTCATTCCCATCTCTCAAACCAATAGTATTGTCAATATTTTGTATCAGAGCAATGGTTTTGTGCTGCCTGAGACATCCCTTTCGACTGCCAGCCATCAACTGAAGGCATCGCCTCACTTGTGTCAGGGGATAAGGGTCTTGCAGGCATACTCTCCTCACGATTATTACACTCGGGCCTTACTACTTAGCCTGACTTGCTCTCCTCCTCCTCATTATAAAATTCATCTAGACATCTCCAATAATGTGTTGAATGTTTTTGGATAAAGATTACTTTTACAAAAAACACTAAGAGACAAAATAAAAGGACCTCTTTCTGTTCGAAAAAAATTTAACATTCAGTATCCAACTTCAGCGCCAACAATATACCTTCTTATATCCTTCAGAGGGAGGGCCTGATTTCATCTCCCAATGCAGACCAGAGGTCTACAAGAGCTTCACAAGAGAGCCACTGCTTGCAAGACACATGACCACTCACAGACACCTCCCAGAAGCAAATCCTTGTAATCACCGATCATACTTGTGAATGCCACAACCGACAAATCACTCTAGCACTACAATGTCATGATATCCTAGGTTTGGACCTTGTTGAATACGAAGCGTAGAGTATCCTTGTATCAGTGTTGAATTTGTTTCGGGAGGAGTTTTGAATCCAACTTCTGTATCCACTAATTCCAAAGTTCTGGTCGATGTCATGCCCCCAACGGCATCAAAAATGAAATATCAACATTGACACTTATTGGATCGTTTTCGTTTCTCATTGGTCATCAAAGTGAACCAAATTGAAGTCACTATCATCATAGTATTCACAATGCTGTCCCTCACAAAAACTTCAATTAGGTTTGATGCTGCGAATGTGCAGCTTTGATACCTACAGTATTTCCATCATCACCGGACACGAGAATCTGGAATCCAAATCTTTCAGAATTATTACTCTAAGAGTCGTTGTCCCATTGCAAATAACAAAATTCGACATGGACGAACGTCCAACATACAATGGTCGGCTTAGACCTACCACTACTATCCAGCTTCTGCAAGATTAGGGCTACCTTCATCAGTACGTCAATATAAAAACATATACGGCATGCACCTCATTCAGACCTATCGATAAGAGTTATGATTGAGTATTGGACAAAACATGTCACCCAAAACAGTATCCATCCTTGCATAAGAAATTCATCTCATGTCAAAAAAGTGGCGATTTCATCTAAGCAATCTGCTTGAATCAACAACATTAACACCAACACGAAGAAAGCTCGGATTGACGTGCAATAGGCCAGCTGTGGAGGGGAAATGAACAGATGGGTCCATTGCACGATCACTTGAAACCCGGTATAACACATCCTCAACACGCGAAGGAGCTATGTGGAATCTTGCTAGGATGGAATTGATGCACACAATTGGTGAGCCAGAGAGAGAAGAGTACAACCTTGTGCAACTGGTACATAGTGACATCATCTGTATTGAAGCGAATCTAAACGACGGTGGAATGCAAAACTGAAGGGTCGAACTGCAAGGCTGATATTGATTGCAGTGCTTGGAGTTACAGACTGGGCATCATTTGACAAGGACCCCCCAAGTCGCGTCTAACGACAAGCCTCTTACATCGCCTAGCTGTCTCTCCCTGCCATGTACTTCCCTTGGGGTGAATAGGTAAGGGCCAGAGAATCCTCCTCCAACAAAAACAAAAATGTCGTTCTCGCCAGATCCAAGTTCACACCCAATTGGGCAGCAACTGGAACAAACCTTGAAACACAAGTGAAAGCATATGGAGAAGTCGAGCGCAACAACAAAAACACAATCCGCAGTTTGCATCGCCGCGGTGCAAGTGCGAGAACAACTGCCAGTTACTCCGAGAGAAACGATCTACAAACCACCAAGGATGAAGACGAGGCAATTGCGTGAGGATCGGTGGGTGGGTGAACAAATGGTTGTGAGCAAGAGCTACAAAACCAACAAAAGGACCACCTGAAACGAGCGCAAGAATCAGAAGTGAGAAGAGCAGAGAACACTACCCACTCAAAATGAGAGATAGGAGCAGGAAGATTAGGGCTGCAGCAAAGCTTACACAAGAATGAGCTTCCACCCCATTGACAACACCTTCATCGGGAGGAGGGATACACCACCTTTCTTCCTCCTTCCCTCCATTGCTACTCCTGTGTGTCCTATGGCCCATCCTCCATCACCCATAGGAGCCTTCATGGTGCTTCCGTAGCTGTGTAGGTCGTCGTCTTTGTGGATTCAAGCTGTTTCGATGCATGCATACGTTCACTGTGTGTGTGTATATATATGTTTTGCATAGAACAACTTTCACAACTGCTGTGGAAGCTTGAGGGAATGTGGGAGGGAGGGAGGATTTTATATCCAAAGTGGCCTACGACTGCAGGCTGCTTGCTTGCTTCGTGTTTGTGGGCAGCATGGGTGATTTGGTAGCTTGCCTCTTCTCAGCTCAATCTGTCCATCCTGTCCATGATTTTTTTTATTAACTGTGCTGTTCATTCTGGGCAGGTCATATCCCCAGTTGTTTTGTTTTGTTTTTTGACACAAAAAGGCTATACCTTCCACATTGAGAAGTAGTTAAAAGTTGCAAAGGCATCCAAGCTTTTAACACCTTGTGTTTGTACTTTTTTTTTTTTTTTTTTTTTTTTTTCCCCATCCATAATCTATTCCAACTTCTCAATTAGGTCTTATTCTCAATTGCTTCACATTTTATTTATCAAGATATTCCAAAGTAATATGTTGTAATTTAATAGGTTAGACCATATGAATTTTTTGGTTGAAAGATCACTATACATCTCATCATTAGATGCTTTAGGAATCCATTGCATCTAAATTATCCAAAGACAAGAACCTCTAAATAAAGACCATCTTTTTAAATTTTTTGAATCTTGTAGGATTCTTTTTTGCAAAAATTTGTATACTACTATTTAAAGAAGTCCTAATATACATAATTTACAAGTATTTTATGATGTTTGGTTAGATTTGGTCTTCTAAACACCAACTATAACTTTGCTACCAAAAATTAGCAAAATAAGCACAACCTACTTGTAAGTACTTGGTTGGTGCCACATGTCTTCTAATTCATCAAATAAATAGTGTCAAATATATCATCTAATTTTAAAACAATAAAGTTTTATAAAAAATGTTCTTTTTGTAGAAATTGGCATTTTATTTTTGTAGTATGAGACATAATATTGCATTCTTTGTGATATAAGTAATTCCAAAGATTAAAGAAAATAACAATAAAAATATTTGCCAAATACAATTTGTTGCATCTTGGACTTCATCAACATGTGATCACTATTTCTTGTGAAATTTGTCCCTAAAAGAGAGAATAATGTCACAAATATATATATATATATATATATATATATATATATATATATATTATCAAGGACAAGAACTCGATGAAAAAATAGTTCAGACAAGTAAGCCTTCACTCAAAGAAAAGTAACAAAATATGAATAATAAGTATGTATATTGAAAAGAGAAACTAGAATGGCTATTGCCAAAAGACAAGAAAACTAGAGACCCTTGAAACTAGACTAGAAGCAAGAAAGGAGTTGACAAGAGTGAAGAAGCCTTCACTCTTGTCTCTATATATACTATCTAACTAGGGGCTACGTGGCGACGTTCTATAGGACCTCTAATATGTGTTGACTTTGTAGGACACATGCCTTGACTTACAAGGCAAGTTTTTCTACGTGTGGGCCACATAGTTAGCTTGATCTTCAAGCTAACAACATGTGTGGCACGTGGCCAACTTGTTGACCACGTTTCTAATCCAAAACGTCAATTAAAGACATCTATGAAGTCAAAGCAACGTCTAGGAAGTTTCTAGGAAGCTTCTATATTAAATATTATAGAATTAACTTATTTTTATCTACTTTTACTTACTTCTACCTATTTCTATATGTAATTATTAGCTTATATGATTATGGCCGTGACATTACCCCCCCTTCTAGAGACGAGTTCCACGAGGAGCGGTCATCATATGTTGAGGAAATCTATGATGCGACGAATTGTATTCGCCACATACTCTGATCTCTGTTCTCTTTGAAGATGATTGATAAGGCCTCTCAACCATCGATAGTGTCTCATACCAAGGCAGGAAGACCACCCAGTTATTTGATCATTGTTGAGGCCTTCGTAACTTCCTTCAAATAGAATATTCGGAACACCATCAGGAGTTGTTCCTACCTCTAGCAAAATCACCAAACATCGAGAGTCCCTTCCCAAATCGTGATACCAAACGCGTTGTATCTCACCATCTATTCGAGGAAGAACATGTCGTTCTTGAAGATCTTCATCTCGATTGCATCGTCTCGAAGGTTTTGACAATCGTAATGTCTCGTCCGGTAGGTCAGCAAACGAAGGTTCTTGAGTTGAATCCGCTGGTTGTTGGCTCTCCATCTAATTAGCATCACAAATGTAAAGAAGTTACAAACAAGGATAGGAAATTGAATGTTATCTTGCCTCAATCTTGTCTCTTTTATAAGAGAGATTTTCATCTTGGTTTTGATGGATGTTGTTGATGAAAAACTTTGACTTTAGTTGATGCATTTGCTAGATTCCTGGATGGCTCCCATGTGCGTTCACTAATATCATATCCGCGCCAATGAACAAGATATTCCAGCTTATTTTGGCGCTGCCTTGAGTCTAATATCTCTTCCACCTCAAATTCTTCATTATTATCTACTTCTATTGGAGGCGGTGGCATTTGTCTTCTTTCTTGTATATCCACTGTCTTATATGGTTCAAGAAGAGACACGTGGAATACATGATGGATCTTCATTGACTCCGGTAGATGTAACCGATATGCAACTGGGTTGATCTGTTCAGAAACAGAAAAGGGGCCAAGCCTACGATAGTCCAACTTGTCACAAGGTCGAGTAGTCTTGATATTGCGACGAAGTAGCCATACCTTATCACCCACGTTGAATTGTGGTTGCTCCTTACGATATAGATCTGCGTTTATTTTTTTTCGTTCTTGAGCTTCCTTCAATTGCGTCTTCATTATTGCATGTAACTCTGACAACCGATTTACCATATCTTCTACTGCAGGATTATCAACTTTTGAAAAATCAAAAGTATCAAGTCGTGGATGATAGCCATAATTGGCAAAGAAAGGTGTTTGTTGCGTGGAAGAATGTACCGTATTATTATAAGCAAACTCTACCAATGGCAGAAGGGTTGTCCAATCATCTTGTTGGTAGTTGATAGTACACCTTAAATACTGCTCCAAGACTTGGTTTACGCGCTTTGTTTGTCCATCAGTTTGAGGATGGAAAGCCGAAGATAGCTTTATGTCCACTTTTAAAATCTTGAAAAGGATCCTCCAAAATCTTGACACAAATTGAGTTCCCCTATCCGATATGATATCTTTAGGTAATCCATGATAGCGATAGATATTATCAATGAAAAGCTTAGCTGTTTCTTCACCTGTGATAGATTTTGTACATGGCACAAAATGTGCCATCTTGGTGAAACGATCTACTATCACAAATATAGAATCATAAGATCTTGAGCTTAGAAGATCTGTGATGAAATCCATAGAAACAGAAGACCATGGTTGTTCTGGTATAGGTAATGGCTGAAGAAGTCCGTAAGGTCGATGATGAGGAATTTTTGATCTTGAACAAATATCACATGATTGTACAAAGTCTTTGACTGACTTCCACATTTGTGGCCACCAAAAATCTCTTGATATGAGTTCCAAAGTCTTATTATATCCAAAGTGCCATACTGCTGGAAAGTCATGACGTGCTTGAAGAACACGTAAACGTGCTTCTCCTTTTGGAACATATAGGCGTCTTTCAAAATATAATAGATTATTCTTGAACTCGAACTTAGAAGGATCATGAGACTTGGAAGAATTATTCTCGATATCATAAACAAGAGGGTTTGAGGACATACTGGATTGGATTTGCTTGAAAAAAGTTGAATCAACAGTCAATGTTGATTTCATTGCTCGGAGATGAAATTGCTCCGGTTTCAAGAGGACCGTTTTTTGTTGCTCAAAAGCTGCATCTCCTTCTTTTGGTGCAAAATAAGAACGTCTAGATAGGGCATCGGACAAACCTTGTTGTTTTCCTGGCCGATAAGTGATAATGAACTCGAATCTTGACAAAGACATACTCCAACGAGCTTGACGACGATTCAACACGCGTGCTGACATGAAATACTCGAGGTTCTTGTGATCTGTATACACAGTGACTGGACTAGAAGCGCCTTCTAGATAATGATGCCATTCTTGAAAGGAATCCACGATTACAAGAAGTTCTTTATTGTGGATCTCATAATTGATCTCGGCTGCTGAGAATTTTCTTGAATGAAAAGCTATCGGATGGAGTTTGTCATCTGTTCCCATTTGTGATAAAACTGCACCCAAGGCAAAATCTGATGCATCTGTTTCCATAAAAAATGCCTTGGAAAAGTCAACACGATATAAGACTGGTGCAGAGACAAACGATGTCTTCAAGGCTTCAAATGCTGCTTCCGCTTCTTGATTCCATTGAAATTTATCTTTACTAGTCAAGCGTGTAAGTGGAGCTGCAACTCGTGAGAAATCTTTGATGAAGATCCGATAGTAATTGGCAAATCCCAAGAAACATTGGACATCTCTTACCGTCCTTGGAATCTTCCAATCCACGATTGTTTGGACTTTCTTAGAATCCATCATGAGACCATCATTTGAAATGATGTATCCTAAAAAGTCAACTTGAGTAGTGTGAAATACACACTTTTCCATCTTGGCGTACAATCCTGCATCTCTAAGTTTTTGTAATACTTGACGAACATGTATTTGATGTTCTTCGATGTTCTTAGAATAGATGAAGATATCGTCTAGATAGCAAACGACAAAATTGTCTAAGAATTCACGAAATACATCATTCATGAGATGTTGAAAAGCAGCTGGTGCATTCGTGAGTCCAAAGGGCATGACATTATATTTGAAATGTCCATACCTGGTTCGAAACGCAGTCTTCCATTCATCTCCTTCTTTGATCCGTACTAGATTATATGCTCCTCTTAGATCTATTTTTGTATAGATCTTAGCTTGATTCAACTGGTCAAGGAGTCCTGATATCAAAGGTATTGGATACCTGTTCTTGATTGTGATCTTGTTGAGTCCTCGATAATCAATACACATTCGTAAAGATCCATCTTTTTTCTTTATGAATAGAATTGGAGCTCCTGCTGGAGATTTTGAATGGCATATGAAATTCTTCACTAAATTCTCGTCAATATATGTCTTGAGTTCAGCCATCTCATCTTGCGATAAACTGTAAATTGGTCCAAATGGTGGCTGAGTTCCTTCCTTGAGGTCGATTGAACAATCATATGGGCGATGCTCAGGAAGAATA